ATTTATCATTATTTAGAATTTTCATAAATTAGACAAATGTGTTCGTTCTCTAACAACTCAGTTATAGAAATGAATTGGTATCCTTATTCATTTGTATGGAAGATATATTTTTCTGTCTAGATATATAACAATTTTTTCATTTAAACAAAAAAACTGAATATCACCGATTATATTTACACATTATTGAAACTTCTTTGTAGACGACATTGGTAGTGACAACACAATCTTGTTCATCTTCGTTTAGAGCTAACACCTTCAATCTATCAGGACGGATTACTTGGATTAAAATATATAATGGTAGAATATTACTCAATTAGTTATCCTTTTATATTTGCAGTCAATTAGTGATATCAGATACATTTTCAGCAAATTATTCTTTTTTATTTTCAGTCAATTAATCAATTAGTATACCAAATGCAATGATATTTTTACTTAATTTGCTTTCCATTTTTAATTGATGATGTAGATATTGTTATTGAAATATTTCCGTTTCATTTTTAATTTACCTTTACTATTGTTTAAAATATGCATTTACTATTGATAATGTAGAATATTATTATTGCAATATTTTCTTCCAATTTTTAATTTTCATTCCATTTTTAATTAAAATGCAATGATATGACCATTTTTTTATCGAGCATTTTTTATTTGCAGTCAATTATTAATATTCATTTCCTTTTATATATTCAGTTAATTAGTAATATTAGATTCATTTTCAGTCAATTATTATTTTTTATTTTCAGTCAATTAGAATATAGATATATTGATATTTTTACCTAATTTCTGTTACATTTTAATTTGATGATGTAGAATATTATTAATAAAATATTTTCGTTCCATTTTTAATTTACATTTACAGTCAATTACTATTTGTTTGGATTATTATTATTATTATTATTATTATTATTATTATTATTATTATTATTATTGTTGTTGTTGTTGTTGTTGTTGTTATTATTATTATTATTAACAATTTAAAAAAAAATTGAGATTGACAAATTCACCAAAATTTTAACAAATTCGTCATTTTAACAATTTATCTTTAATCAAAACACCAAAAATATTATTTAATAACTTAGTAATTTGCTCTAAACTGCTAAAAACTAAAACAACACATACATTTTGGGTTAATCTTTCCCAACCCACTAATAATAAATAAATAAATAAATAAAAACTAAAATAAGAAGACAAAGCTAATGTTTCTTAAATAAGAACCTTTTAACTTCTCAATACTTGCAACATTGATGGGCAAACAATTATGTTTGTACCTCTTATATATATAGAGGAGCTCAAGAGCTCATCTTTTCAAACATTTTCAATGTGGGATCAAAATAATCACATATCATTAACAAAGGGAGCCCGTGGCTCCCCTTTGTCTTCTTCTTCTTCTTCTTCTTCTTCTTCTTCTTCTTCTTCTTCTTCTTCTTCTTCTTCTTCTTCTTCTTCTTCTTCTTTTTTTGTTAATTTTAATTTTATTTTGTATATAGTTTTATTTGGATTATTATTATTATTGTTGTTGTTGTTGTTGTTGTTGCTGTTGTTGTTGTTGTTGTAATTTGATTATTTGGCAAATTCGACAAAATTTTAACAAATTCGCATGTTTAACATTTTATATTTAATCAAAACACCAAAAATATTATTTAATAACTTAGTAATTTACTCCAAACTGCTAAAAACTAAAACAATACATATACATTTTGGGTTAATCTTTCTCAAACCCCCTAATAAATTAAAAAAAAATTAAAAAAAAAACTAAAATAAGAAGCAACTAAAATAAGGTTTATTAAATAAGAGCCTTTTGACTCGTTAGGCTTCAATAGGTTGATAAAGTTTATATGAACAGATATTATATGTAACAGGGTCAATCAAATAGTGGATCGTTATGCTGTGCATCCGTATGCACCATGCATAGTGCATACGGATGCAAAAACGACGTCGTTTTATTAAAAACGCGCATCCCACTTTTAAAAAAATTCAGTTTCGATTCCCCTCAACAGCATTATGGTGTTCATTCATTCTGGAATTTTAGTTCATAGATTCTGGAATTTTAATTCATAGATTCTGGAATTTTAGTTCATTGATTATGGATATTTAGACGTGAACTGAAACTGATTTTTTTTTTCATTCATGCTGGATATTTAGTTCATACATTATGGATATTTAGTTCATTCATTATGGAATTTTAGTTCATAGATTCGGGAATTTTAGTTCATAGATTCTGGAATTTTAGTTCATCGATTCTGGAATTTTAGTTCATCGATTCTGGAATTTTAGTTCAAATTATGCACAATATAATGTTGTTGCTGGGAATCGAAACTGAATTTTTTTTTTAAGTGAGACGCATTTTTTTTTTTTTAATAAAACGACGTCGTTTTTGCATCCGTATGCACCATGCATGGTGCATACGGATGCACAACATAATTTGCCTCGAATAGTTATGCTGTGGAACCGTGTCCACCTTGCAAGGTGGACACAATTCTATGTTAATAATTACTGAACTATATGTTCATAATTATAAAGCTATATATTCATAATCTTTGAACTTCATATTCATAATTATTGAACTCTATATTCACAATTACAAAACTATATGTTCATAATTACTTAATTATTATATGTTCATAATTATAAAGCTATATATTCATAATTTTTGAACTTCATATTCACAATTATTGAATATCTATATTCATAATTACATAACTATATGTTCATAATTATGTTCACAACACTATGTTCATAATTATAGAACTATATATTCATAATTATGAACAATTTTGAAACAGTGTCTACCATGCAAGGTGGACACGATTTCATAGCATAATTTGTCGGGTCAATAGTATACTCAAAAATAAAATAGGAGCCTTTGGACTTCTCAATACTTGCCCACATTGATGGTCAAACAATTATGTTTGTAAGAGGAGAATTTCTCCTCTTATATAGAGGAGCTCAAGAGTTCCTCTTTCCAAACATTTTCAATATGGGATCAAAATTATCTAACATCATTTACAAAGGGAGCACGTGGCTCCCTTTTGACTTCTTCTTATTATTTTTAATTTTAAATTTAATTGTATTTTGTATATCGTTTTTTTTTTTTTTTTGGATTATTATTATTATTATTATTATTATTTGTAATTTGATTATTGATAAATTCGTCAAAATTTTAATAAATTCGTCATTTTAACATTTTAACTTTAATTAAAACACCAAAATATATTATATAATAACTCAGTAATTTGCTCCAAACTGCAAAAAACTAATACAACACATACATTTTGGGTTAATCTTCCACAACCCCCAGTAATAATAAATAAATAAATAAATAAATAAAAATTAAAATAAGAAGACAAAGTTAAAGCTTCTTAAATAAGAATCTTTTGACTTCTCAATACTTGCCCACATTGATTGATAGGCAAGCAATTATGTCTATAAAAGGATCATTGCTCCTCTTATATAAAGGAGCTCTCTCTTTTCAAACATTTTAAATGTAGGATCAAAATGATCCCACATCATTTACAAAGGGAGAAGGTGGCTCGCATTTATCTTTTTTTTTTTTTTTTTTTTTTGTTAATTTTAATTTTATTTTGTATATAGTTTTTTTTTTGGATTATTATTATTATTATTATTATTATTATTATTATTATTATTATTGTTGTTGTTGTTGTTGTTGTTGTTGTTGTTATTGCAATTTGATTATTTGGCAAATTCGCCAAAATTTTAAGAAATTTATCTGTTTAACATTTTATATTTAATCAAAACACCAAAAATATTATTTAATAACTTAACAATTTGCTCCAAACTGCTAAAAACTAAAACAACTCATATACATTTTGGGTTAATCTTTCTCAAACCCCCTAGTAAATTTTTTTTTTTAAAAAAAAAAAGTTAAAAAGAAAAACTAAAATAAGAAGCCATTAAGATAAGGTTTCTTAAATAAGAGCATTTTGACACGTTGGGCTTCAATAGAATATTATTATTGAAATATTTCCCTTTCATTTTTAAATTTCCTTTACTTGATGATGTAGAATATTATTATTGAAATATTATCGTTCTATTTTTAATTTCCGTTCCATTGTTTAAAATTGTGAAAAATTTATGACATAATTGTAATTCGATGTATTATACTGTGTAATATTATCGTGAAAAATTAAAATGCAATGATCTAGTCATTTTCTTTTTCATTTTAGTCAATTATGGATCATTTTTTATTTTCTTCAATTGTTAATATTCATTTTTTTTTCCAATTAACCTAATTTATGTTCCTTTTTCCATTTTTAATTTCCAGTCAGTTTTTACTATTCATTTCTTTTTCTAATTTACCTAATTTTCTTTCCATTTTTAAGTGATGATATAGAATATTATTTTGGAATATTTTTGTTCCTTTGTTTTTTTCCATTCATTTTTTAATTTACCTTTACTATTTATTATTGTTTGAGCGGGAAATTAAGTAAATAGATTTTTATTTTTAATTTTAGTATAGATAATAGATAGATTACCATGTTGAAATAATATTACTATATTTAAATAATTCTTTATTCAATCGTAGCATATATATGAATTGGTTATATTAACATAATATTACCATATTTATACAATTTTTTATTACAGATTATTTGCTAAATTAAAAATTATTAAATTGTTAAATTATACTTAAGATAAATAACATACATAAGATTACCAATTATGTAGTTATGTTATTAGCGAATTAATGTATTTTATAAACGGTAATACTACACATAATATTTGCATACATTCTTCCCATAATATTAGCATACATAATTCTACACGATAATACCTAATTATTATTTTGTAACACCATACATAATATTATCATACATAATTTTACACAGTAATACTATACATAATATTATCATACATAATTTTACACAGTAATACTATACATAATATTACCATATTAAAATAATTTTACATCCAAGAACCGCAAAACTAAGAGAAAAACAATGGACTCGAGATTAGTTGATGTCAAGGCTTTTAATTTAAAGCCATATAAACCCGTGCATGCATACTGTACGTACTTCTTTCTCAAAATATTTTTCCAGCTGGTTATCTGTTTCAGGAATATTAATTGCATTTTTATTTAATTATATTATGTATTTATGTACCAAGACTATGTGGTCTAATGGTATCCGGGTTGGACTTTCATTTGGAAGGTTGTAAGTTCAAGCCTCAGTGGAGGCGTTATTAGCTCTTTGTGTTTCAGTAGGTTGAGAAAGTATATGAACAGATACTACAATGTAATAGAGCTAGTAGCATTCAAAAAAAAAATATTATGTATTTATGTATTCTTTTTTCAAAACAATTACGTCATTGAAAATTAAATTGGGAAATATTAAATAAGCATTAATTATTATGAGTTTTTTTTATTGTTCAACAGACAAAAAAAAGTTTTATTAAATTATATATATATATATATATATATATATATATATATATATATTAAATAAATTAGAAATTATATAATTTAAAAATGATTAAATTGTGAAATTATACTGAAGGTAAATATTACTAATTATTGTGGCAAAATCAGAACCACATTCTTATTGAGAAGTGACAAATGCCTATTACATAACAACGATGAATAATATAAGAAATGACTGATTCTAATAGAAATAAATATACAGAATTATAAATGATGTTTAATCTTTGAATAACTATTTCAACCTAGATTTTCAACCTTTATAGCTCTTAACAGATCCCTCATTATTTGAATCACATTCCTGGTTAGACTCAAAATTTTTAATAGGACGTTGAGGCACCTGTCCATCCAGAGAGTCGTGAAAGGTAAAAAATAAAAAATAAAAAAAAAAAGTCAAATACATCAATAAAGTAATACAAAAAGCAAAACAATGTAAGTGAGCAATAAATAACATCTTCAAAGAAATCATAATCTTTTTTGTCGTAAATATGTGTAGAGGAATCTGCATCCTTCAATACTCCCACAGTGGTTCTATCACAAAACTGCGGCATATACCTATGAGTAGTAGTTTTGTTTCTATACATATTATAAAGCACAAAAAATCTATTAATTCGATAAACCCCCCTTCTTTAAATTTCTTCAGCCACTTTTGAACAAACCTTTGAGGAATATACATATGTAGAAAAGTTCTCTGAATTTGTAGTGTAAAAAGAAAATGTTGTAAACAACGATATGCATAAACTAAAAGTTTTGAAACACAAAATATTAAGATTATAGAAAAAAAAGTACCGCTACATCATGGACTACACACTCCGTAGCTAGAGTTCACGACTAACAATCTCGCTGTGTGTTGAAGTCATTGATATTCGGTGTACATAGGAGAGTACAGAGGAAGAAATACGTTTGAAGCTTACAACTTTAAGTTTTGCAGAATGATATGTTTAAATAGCAAGGTATGTTATTACATTATTATGGTAGAATAATAATATAATATATATAGATTATATAATATTCGGTGTAAATAGGATAATTAAGGTATGCTATTGTATACTTATATTGTATAATAATAGTCAGTGTCAATATTGTACAATATTCGGAGTTATTAAGGTAAATTAAGGTAATTGTGTTCTTATTCTACCATAAGATAATTTTGCCATCTACTACGAATTGTGTTTTAATTTGACCAGAAATATGGAGATACCATAATTATGCAATATTATCAATTAATACAATTTACTTAATTTCCATCCAACATTTGCTTACCAAATAAGATTTTTTATTAATTTGACCAATAAAATCAGTTTGGCATTTTAGGCGGGAAAATGCTATAGGAGAATTTTACTTTTATATATATATAGATATAGATTATTGAACGAATGGAAAAATAGTAGAAATCAATATATTTTATTGGAAAGAGAGATTTTTTAGGAATTGGGCTGGAAGTTAAAATTTTAGTATTTTGTTATTATATAGAGTATAGATTAGATGTGCAAAGGGATTTGTATTACATTATTTTATAATTATAGAATAGAATTTTTAACCAGAATTATTGTACAAACAGGAAAGTAGAAATCAATATATTTTATTGGGAAGAGAGATTTTTTAGGAATTGGGCGGGAAGTTAAAATTTCATGATTTTGTTATTATATATAGTATAGATTAGATGTGCAAAGGGAATTGTATTACACTATTTTATAATTTTAGAATATAATTTTTTCCAAGAATTATTGAACGAATTGGAAAGTAGAATTCAATATATTTTATTAGGAAGAGAGATTTTTTAGGAATTGGGCGGGAAGTTAAAATTTCATGATTTTGATATTATATATAGTATAGATATAGATTAGATGTGCAAAGGGAATTGTATTAAATTATTTTATAATTTTAGAATAGAATTTTAACCAAGAATTATTGTACGAATTGGAAAGTAGAAATCAATATATTTTATTGGGAAGAGAGATTTTTATGGAATTGGGCGGGAAGTTAAAATTTCATGATTTTGTTATTATATCCAGTAATGATTAGATGTGCAAAGTTAATTGTATTACACTATTTTATAATTTTAGAATAAAATTTTTACCCAGAATTATTGAACGAATGTGAAAGTAGAAATCAATATATTTTACTGGGAAGAGAGATTTTTTAGGAATTGGGCCGGAAGTTAAAATTTCATGATTTTGTTATTATATCCAGTATAGATTAGATGTACAAAGTTAATTGTATTACACTATTTTATAAGTTTAGAATAAAATTTTTACCCAGAATTATTGAACGAATGGGAAAGTAGAAATCAATATATTTTATTGGGAAGAGAGATTTTTTAGGAATTGGGCGGGAAGTTAAAATTTCATGATTTTGTTATTATATCCAGTATAGATTAGATGTGCAAAGTTAATTGTATTACACTATTTTATAATTTTAGAATAAAATTTTTACCCAGAATTATTGAACGAATGGGAAAGTAGAAATCAATATATTTTATTGGAAAGAGAGATTTTTTAGGAATTGGGCGGAAAGTTAAAATTTCAGGATTTTGTTATTATATATAGTATAGATAAGATGTGCAAAGTTAATTGTATTACACTATTTTATAATTTTAGAATAGAATTTTTACCCAGAATTATTGAACGAATTGGAAAGTAGAAATCAATATATTTTATTGGGAAGAGAGATTTTTTAGGAATTGGGCGGGAAGTTAAAATTTCATGATTTTGATATTATATATAGTATAGATTAGATGTGCAAAGGGAATTGTATTACATTATTTTATAATTTTAGAATAGAATTTTTACCCAGAATTATTGTACGAATGGGAAAGTACAAATCAATATATTTTATTGGGAAGAGAGATTTTTTAGGAATTGGGCGGGAATTTAAAATTTTAGTATTTTGTTATTATATATAGTATAGATTAGATGTGCAAAGGGAATTGTATTACATTATTTTATAATTTTAGAATAGAATTTTTACCCAGAATTATTGTACGAATGGGAAAGTATAAATCAATATATTTTATTGGGAAGAGAGATTTTTTAGGAATTGGGCGGGAAGTTAAAATTTTAGGATTTTGTTATTATATATTGTATAGATTAGATGTGCAAAGGGATTTGTATTACATTATTTTATAATTATAGAATATAATTTTTAACCAGAATTATTGTACAAATAGGAAAGTAGAAATCAATATATTTTATTGGGAAGAGAGATTTTTTAGGAATTGGTCGGGAAGTTAAAATTTCATGATTTTGTTATTATATATAGTATAGATTAGATGTGCAAAGTTAATTGTATTACACTATTTTATAATTTTAGAATAGAATTTTTTCCAGGAATTATTGAACGAATTGGAAAGTAGAAATCAATATATTTTATTGGGAAGAGAGATTTTTTAGGAATTGGGCGGGAAGTTAAAATTTCATGATTTTGTTATTATATCCAGTATAGATTAGATGTGCAAAGTTAATTGGATTACACTATATTATAATTTTAGAATAAAATTTTTACCCAGAATTATTGAACGAATGAGAAAGTAGAAATCAATATATTTTATTGGGAAGAGAGGTTTTTTAGGAATTGGGCGGGAAGTTAAAATTTTAGGATTTTGTTATTATATATAGTATAGATTAGATGTGTAAAGGGATTTGTATTACATTATTTTATAATTATAGAATAGAATTTTTAACCAGAATTATTGTACAAATAGGAAAGTAGAAATCAATATATTTTATTGGGAAGTGAGATTTTTTAGGATTTGGGCGGGAAGTTAAAATTTCATGATTTTGTTATTATATATAGTATAGATTAGATGTGCAAAGTTAATTGTATTACACTATTTTATAATTTTAGAATAGAATTTTTACCAAGAATTATTGAACGAATTGGAAAGTAGAAATCAATATATTTTATTGGGAAGAGAGATTTTTTAGAAATTGGGCGGGAAGTTAAAATTTCATGATTTTGATATTATATATAGTATAGATTAGATGTGCAAAGGGAATTGTATTACATTATTTTATAATTTTAGAATAGAATTTTTACCCAGAATTATTGTACGAATGGGAAAGTACAAATCAATATATTTTATTGGGAAGAGAGATTTTTTAGGAATTGGGCGGGATTTTAAAATTTTAGTATTTTGTTATTATATATAGTATAGATTAGATGTGCAAAGGGAATTGTATTACATTATTTTATAATTTTAGAATAGAATTTTTAACCAGAATTATTGTACGAAAGGGAAAGTATAAATCAATATATTTTATTGGGAAGAGAGATTTTTTAGGAATTGGGCTGGAAGTTAAAATTTCATGATTTTGTTATTATATGTAGTATAGATTAGATGTGCAAAGTTAATTATATTACACTATTTTATAATTTTAGAATAGAATGTTTACCCAGAATTATTGAACGAATGGGAAAGTAGAAATCAATATATTTTATTGGGAAGAGATATTTTTTAGAAATTGGGTGGGAAGTTAAAATTTTAGGATTTTGTTATTATATATAGTATAGATTAGATGTGCAAAGGGAATTGTATTACATTATTTTATAATTTTAGAATAGAATTTTTACCCATAAT